GTAGTAAAAATTTGATATAACGAAATTTTATTTTTTTTACTATTTAAATCGATATATCAAGAAAAACTCATTTTTCCGAATTCTTATTATAACAAATCAAAATCACTAAACCAAAAGGTTCGTTATATCGAGTTCCGACTGTATACAAAATATGAAAGCAAATAGTATTAACACTCTGCAGAATGAAGCGAAGCATGAATACAAAATATGAAAGCAAATAGTATTCACATTCTGTGAAATGAAGCAGAGCATATACACAAGATACAATCGCATAGTTGCAGAGCAAAGTGAAGCTTGTACCCAAAATATGAAAAAAATCAAGTGATATAAATACACACATATTAGGTTTCAGGATCAACCCCAGAATATTCCTGTCACTATCTCCAGACTATTTACTGAATAAATCTAATTCCAGATCATCTTCAGAATATTCTCTATCATTAGCTTAATTTTTTGTAAATTTTAAACGTTGATAAAATACTCTAGAACGATGCTTATCTGAATGTTTTTTACAAGCATCATATCCAGAGAAAGTTTTTTATCGCATCCAGGTTCTATACATGGATATTATATAGGTGAATTCTGATGGACTTTATAATCCTTTGGATTATAGCATCTCCGATTGCACTCTTTTTTAGTCCTAAGAATATACATATAGACAATAATAAAAATTTCAGGGTGGATCCTTCTGGGATCATGTCACCTTTTTCTGCCTTCTATAGTTTCTTTTTGAATAAATGTCTAACACTAATTATCTAAATAAAATATTTTTTATTTTAAAGTTTTTTCTAACACTATATAATCTTAGGAAAAAATGAGCGGTTTACTCAGTAGTATTACCAGCACATTAGAACAATTGTTCAGAAATCTCTGGAAAAGTTTGACGCCACCTGAGTTGCCTGAATCTTCTAAGCCATCAGAAGAAGACTCAGAGTCGAAAGAGGAAGGAAATAGTGACTATTTGACTGATGATGAGAGAGATACATCGGAATCTAAATCTGAATCTAATAATGAGTTTGAACCAGAAGAAAAAATATTATTTTGAAGGATAGAAGATCCAGCTCTGGAAAGGTTAGTAGAAATTAAAAGAATTTTCGATCAAGGTTTATGTATTAATCATTTTGCTAATATTCCAAAAAATTACCCTTATTGAGAAGACCTATTAATCACGTTCGAGAATATTGAAGACTAAATTAGTGACATTTATAGAAATAAATTAGTGCATTTAGGAGGCATTAAAATAAGAATAGTCCTTATCGCTCATATGTATCAGATTATACAAGAAGGATATTTTGGATACTGAATAGATCAAGACATAGCATTTCCAAGTAAAATCTTGGATATTATTTGCCAATATAGAATAAACCAAACAATCTTATGACGATACCATAAAATCTTAGATAAAATTGATGAAATGAAGCAAAATCAACATTCAGGCTGGATATATGAATATGGAAAAAAAATCTTTCTCAAAATAAGCGCTTATCAACCACTCTGAGGTAGATCACATTTCACTTTACCAAAAATATGGGTCAAGCCTTAACTAGAGATAATTAACCCACAAAATACAAATGAAAGATGTTTTGAAATTTGTTTAAAGGCTTATCTAGCAAGTGAAGAGGTCCATAAACAGGAAACTAGAGCGAGAAATCTTCATAATGTTAGTAGATTAAGGCACTTTGATAATGTATTAGATTTTACCAGTATAGATTTTTCAATCACATTGCGAGATATAGATACATTTGAAGAAAATAATCCAGATTATGCAGTAAATGTGTTCTATCTAGCGTCAGCAAAAAATGGCAAAGAGCAAAAAACTAGAATGATAGACCCACTCCCATATCAGAATATAACTATCAAAGAGGGTATATGGTAGATTTAATATTATTTACTGAAGAAGAGAAAGATCTTAAAGATCGCTAAAATATTAATGAAATTCTCCTAGATCTCAATACACATTACTGCCTTATAAATGGTGAAAATGACTGGAATCAGATTATGCGTAGTTAGAATAAATATCATAAGCGTAAATATTTCTGTCGCCACTGTCTGATAACTACATTCTCAAGAATAGACCTACTCGAAGAATACATAAAGCACAATTGTCATAGACGAAATAATCCTAATGCTGGTCAAAGAAAAATCTTTTCCAAAAAGGAGATGCATATCATGAAATTCAAAAATTATGGAATCATAAAAATGTTCTATTTTATTTTGCTAAAGATCTTGAAGCAGATAGTGATCTGATAGAAAACAATATTATCAATGAAAAGACCGTTAAACTACAGAAGCAGAAGCCTAATAATTATAGTTATTCTTTGATTCAAATAGATGAAAGCTTGCGAAAGAAGTTGTCAGGTGAATCCTGAACTCAATTACAGAATCATGGAAGAGCATGTAATGGGATTTAGAAAAAATTATTAAGCTAAAATTACGAACTTCTGAAAAAATAAAATGACAGAGTGTGATTGGCACTCACATAACTCTGCCATAAGATGTTACATATGTGAAGAAAGGTTACAAGAAACCTGATATAATAAAGTAAAATATTTTGATACTTCTCAAAAGTTCCTAAGCATATCACATTATGACTGTGTTAAAATCAAATGTGAAGTCACAGAAGAAAAACTAGCAGAAGCTATATATCATATAGAAGGCTTGAGTATAAAAGAACTGAGTCATTTCGAAAAAGCGACTGAATGTTACTTTTGCAAAAAAAGCTATAAGAAGATTTCAAAAATAAGGTTAGAGATCAATGATCATTTTACTGGGTGATTTTGTGGTACTACACATCATGGCTGTAATCTAAAACTCTGAATAAATCCAGATAAAATTAAGATTCCATTAATTTATCATGGTGGAAAATATTATGACTTTCATCATGAAGTACGGGAATTGGGCCTAGTTAGTGAAGACAAAATTGAAATAATTGCGGACAATATAGAAAATTACAAAACGATAATAATTGGCCAGATTAAATTTATAGATTCCTGTCAATTCCAGTTTCTGTCATTAGAAAAAGTAGCATCAAATTTGCGTGAATAAGAAAAGTTTCTAGAGCAATTGGCTAAATATTTCTTGATTATAGTGCAGAATATACCTCAGCATTTACTCCCGATACTCACACAAAAAAGTGAGTACCTATATGAATTAAATGATTCAGAGTGCTTCTTTAGAATAGAACTCCTATCAAGAAAAGAATTTAACACAGTGCTAGGCGGACTAAATTATTGTGAAAATGGCTGTAAAAAATGTAAGCATGAAATAAAGAGTAAAAAGTGTAATGAAGAATATAAGGAAGCGGATTTAAAGGAGGTCAATGATTGTGAGCATAAGAAGATTTACATTATTAGTCAGAAGCAATATGCTCATGCACAGAAAGTATAAGAGAAAGCAAAGTGTGAAACATTTGAGAACTATTATGATTTATATTTCAGAACTGATGTTCTAATATTAGCGGACTCAATTCAGCGATTCTGAATGACAATAAAGGAAGTATCTGGATTAGACCCTCTGAATTATATAATATTACTATTATTCGCATTCGATATGCTAAAAAAGATAACTAAGGTCAAGCTCAAATTATTTCATAAAAAGCAAGAAGATATGCACGAATTCGTCCAATGCTGGATGTGAGGTGAAAATTCTATGGACCTACGACATTTAGCAAAAGCAAATTTTTCCAGAATAAAAGGATATAATAAACATAAGACAAATAAATGGCTCCTATATTTAGATACTAATAATTTATACGGATAGGCTATGTCACAATATTTACCAACAGGAGGATTCTGATGGCTTGAGCTAGATAAACTGCCTGATATTTGATCTATTTTTCCAACTGCTAAACGAGATAGTGCTTGGGAAGTAAAATTAAAATATCTGAAATAAAGATGGTCACCGCAATTAAAAAAAATGGCGCAATTGAGTTGCAACTTGTGACGCAATTAAATTTCCTTATGACGCAATTAAGTTGCAACTCAATTGAAATTTGAAAATAATTATAGGGACCATCTTTAATCTGAAACAACTTTATCTAATACATACTGATTATCTGCTTTGCCCAGAACGTCAAGTAGTTAAGCGTAATGAGCTTAGTCTTCATCAAAATAAAGACTTAATTGATAAATTAAGTGGGAGTAAATTTGCCAAGACAGAAAAATTGGTAAAATCTTCAGCAATGTCTTGAACTAGAAATAGAACTCGAGCATATTTATTGAGTACTAGAATTTGACCAGTCTCTATAGATGGAGCTATATATTATACCAACACTATACGACGTCGTGATGTCAAAAACGCCTTCGAAAAATATTTATGAAAATTAATGAACAATGCTGTATTTGAAAAAACTATAGAAGATATTTAGTATTGCACACAAGTAGATCTAGTACAACTAATAGGAGAGGAGCACTAACTGCGTAAAATATTAGCAAATCTAGTACTAGTTAGTCGTAAAATATTTCATAGAAGTAATTTTATAACAATACATCGAAACAGACGAATGTTATACTAAATAAGCCAATCTATATCAGGGCTTCGATTTTAGATCTTAGTAAATATTACATGTATGATTTCTGGTATGACTATATCAAGCGCAAGTATAGGGATCATACTAAATTATGTTATACCAATATAGATTCACTTATTATTAAAATAGAGACTGAAAATGTCTATGCAGACATGATTAAAGATGCAAATCTTTATGACTTTAGTGATTATTCTGAAGATCATTCATTACTTAAAAAACTTCCACCTGATCAATGGATAATTTATCCAGATGGTTTACCTGAGCTAAAAAATAAGAAAGTGATCAGAAAGTGAAAAGATGAGTTTGCAGGAACCTGAGTATTAAGATATGCTGGAAACTGATTAAAGTCTTATGCATTAGAAACTGAAGATGATCATAAGAATATACAAAAGGTGAAGGGTCTCAAAAAATCTTTCGTCAAAAAAGAGCTATCTATTGATATTTATGAGCGATGTATTCTAGAAGAAATAGAGGATGAGTCACAAATTGCAAACTTCTTGCGATGTGAACGTTTCGTTCTATATATAATCTAATAGACAAAAAGGAGTATTAACCCACTTGACTCCAAGAGATAGATATTAAATGACCAGGTTACAACATAGATAATTAGAAATTATCAAATCCTGGTATATCTAACTGCATTAGAGCAATATAGGAATATTATACCTTAAGAAATATTAACGGATTTGGCTTTATAAAAGATGAGCAGTCGGCTATTTTAATATTTTTTTTCTAAAATTTTTTATTCGCAATTTAAACTAACCATTTTATTTTACAGTAAAGACTTAGTGTTAGTATACAATGACAGATAAAATACCAGCGAATGAAATCTCAGCAAGTTATATTTCATGAAAAAGAAATGAGGTGGCTCAGCTCCAAGTAATAAGAGAGGCATTATGCTTTTGCTACAAAAAAAATAGTAAGTTAGTTAGTGAATATATTGGTTATGTAAAAAATTTGCGACAATCGGATGATCTAGAAGAATATATAAAATCAATTGCTATAATGCTCTTTCCGAATGAAGATGTATATAATAGAAAGATGTATAGATATCAAAAATAATATCAAAGTAAGAAAGTTCTTCTTGTTAGTATTGAAAATCTGTATAGTCTATTCTACATAATATCTAAAGAAGAGTAACCTATGGCTGAGGAAGAAATTAGCAGAACAATAGAAGAGTTGATTGCAGATGATATTAAATAAAATCTAATTCACAAGCACTCATTGTGATGGATACTCCATATCAGGAGGAATAATTTGAAGCTCCTCTCTTACAAAAGATCTTTCTGAGTCATTGTTCTCATCATCTATAAGACAGACTGATTTTTTTATATTAAAGATTTGCGGATCTAATAAATCTTAAAAGATTTATTCATATCAGTTGTGTGTCTTCTTCCTTTCTCATATTCACTAGAATCAAGCAGATATATAACAGAATTATCATAAGATAATCTTTTTTTGTCATACTTCACAAGTCCTTTTCAAGGTTTAGAAGGCTTAGTAAAAATACTATTCTTTTTTATCACCTCTGTAGGAGTCATATCAAGTAAATAAGTTACAGAATTATTAAGATCTTCTACTATTGAATTGACAACACCTAGTAGGTCTTCTAACTCTATTATATCAGAAGAGGTATCCAATAAGTCATATGCATCAAAACTACTATAGAATTGTTCTTGAAACATTCTGTTAGATCTTTTAATAATACTCATAATTTTCTTAGACTTAGCCTTCTGAATCCTCACGTCATGCTTTTTTAACAGTTTTTCACATTCACCCTTAAATTCAGATCCCTTATCTGATAAAAATACTTTTGACCAGATAAGGGCACTGACATATATTATATAATATTTTAGAGGGTGGGGGTAGCTGAGATGTCTTATAGATGTCTTACATTTATACTTAGAAATATATATTATATGATAGATGTGGTTTAGTTTTTTAGAATCAAAATTTATTTAATGACCGAAATTTAAATGACCAATAACAATCAAAAATTTCTATTGAATAGTTGACAAAATCCAATCAATTTACTCTCCATCCAAATTATATTCTCTTAAGTCAATTTCTTTAACAGATTATTGTAAGGGTAGAAGGAAAAAATCATCAAGCTAGTTCTTAAATTGTACCTTGAATCATTCTCGAGTAGTAGGTGTGCCATTCTTTTATGGCTTGTTAAAAAAGTGAGAGTAGGAAATATTTTTCACAGATGGGGCAATGAAGGTGTGAGTATGTTTCTTTAAGAAAAGGACAATATTCATCATAACCTGAAATTTTTAAAATATTGTAATATTAGAGTATATAAATTGGGTTTGTAAAATGTCCATCTTTATCCTTGGTAATAGGCGGTAAGAAACTATTGTGGATTTTGAGAAAGTCTATTGCTTCTTTAGCTTTAGGTGGACCACAACAATTTGTATCTTTATATTATTTTATATCAATAGAATATATACACAGATTGCAATGATTCTCAATCCAAGATCATAGAATGAAACACTCAGGTATGTCGTCTTTTTTTTTGTATTTTTTGTTTCTGTTTTTCTTGCTTTTTTAATTCATCAACTTTTTCTTTTTTTGTACTCTCGAAATATATATTTTCAAATAGATTTGTGAATGTATCAATATATTGAACATCCATATATTTTCTAAAAATTGAATCACGACTTCAAATATTACAAAAGGCTTCTTCAGCATACTGGAAATTTTGAGTAGCTAATTTTGGATTTGTAATTTTACCTTGCGAGTTCAAATGAATGCCAAAATGATCGATTAGTAATATTATACCAGCAAGTTTGCAAGATAATGTTGCCATGCCTCTTTCAACAGGATTGTATTTTGATTGTCTCAGAGTATGTATTCATATACTTAAGTAATTCAAATCAAGCTTTTTAAAGAACTAACAATATGATTTTATGTTCTTTAAATATCTGGGATTTTCATCTGGTCTTCCATCCACTAACAATATCCAAATAGGCTGAATTTGCCTATTTGTTTTTAATATATCATTATATTTGAAATTTATGGTGAGATTTATAAGGTCTTGCATATGTGTAAGTGAAAATATACCAATAGGCCATTGAGGACGAATATTAATCGCAAGCTGTCCTATTCGAAAATCATCTTTTAATTTACTTAGTGTTATCATTAGATATACTGAAGGAATTAATTTTTATTCATATCTAGTAGAAAAATCATAATCAGCTACATTTACAGACTCATTAACTGACTGTAAGATGCGAAACGTTTGACTTACTGCAAGCATATCAAGACCCACTTTTGCTTTATTATCTTAGAATATAATAACGGATGCATCAGCAAATACAGAAGTAAATTGTCTTGCATATTTGACAGATGCAAGACAATAATGCCTATCAATATATTCTTGTGTATCTGTATGCGAAACTCCAGCTACTGCAACCCATGCTGGATAGTGGTGCACTTTTGCAGTAATAGAATTTGATTGGTAAGATAAGAGATAATTATTAAGTGTTGTTCGTGCTATATAAATGTTATATTTCTCCTTGAGATTCTTATGTAAGTTTTCAATAATTCGCACTTTAACCACTTCTTTTCATCTTTTTGCATCAGCTGATCTGAACTCAACTGAGTCATGAATTTGATCATGTAAGTTCAAATATTCAAAAAGTAGTGGTAGGCGGCTAGGTTTATTGTATTAAATCTCCTCTTAATTTTCAGTAAGTAATTTACGCTTTTTTTTACAATTTTGAGTATATATTGCATTTCTTTTTAATTTGCTAATTTATCCTTACTAGAATTAATTTCAGTTTGAATTTCTTCTATTTTTATATATAAATCATTTTGAATTTGATTGTTAGTTGTGATATTATACATTTGTTTTAATTCAACAAGCTTTTTTTCAGCCAACTTAATTTCGTCTGCTACTCTCCTTTAAGCCAATGCATTAATAGGAATTTCTGGTAGAGGTTCAACTAAATTGATAATAGGAAGAGGGGGAGTTGATTCTATTGTAGATATAGGAGGTATAGGATGAGTTGTCTTCACTATAGATATATTATATGGGCTAATTGGAGTAGTCATGTAGTTTTTAATTATATCGTCAATTTCTGAAGTACTTTTGTTTTTAATGTTCTTCTATTCTTTTGCTGCATCTTGACAAATAATAATGCAATTTGGAGTACTATTTTCCGTTTTGACCATAATACTATATATATATGCATTAGTAAATTCCTGATATTTATAAATTGGAGATTTATAAATTAGTTTTTTATTAAATTTTGGGCCAAGAAAGTAAGTTTGACGACTCATTGTTTAATATTTGAAAAAAAAAATGAACACGTTTTTAAAATTTTTTAATTTCTCACTTTATTAAAAATTTATATATTTTAAAAGGCATTGAGCTAAATATATTAAAATAAATATATTAAAAGTATAATTATAATACCACAACTAATATATATTAAAAGAACAAGCCCACTTGCAACTCCCACAGCTAATTTATATTAAAAAAGAGAAACATCATCTACAACTCCTGCAGTTAATATATACTAAAAAAAGAACACGTAAAAAAGACATGTAATATGGACATGTAATAATAAGTCACTCTTTTTAAACCTTAAGAAAATATAATAAAATGCCTTTTTGTTCTTATATTTTAAAAATTTATATAATATGAATCATGT